TACGAGGTAGTGGGTTGATTACAGGATACGAGGTAGTGGGTTGATTACAGGATACGAGGTAGTGGGAAGATAACAGGATACGAGGTAGTGGGTTGATTACAGATTACGAGGTAGTGGGTTGATTACAGGATACGTGGTAGTGGGTTCATTACAGGATACGAGGTAGTGGGTTGAGTACAGGATACGTATCATGGAATTCATAATTTCTGCGGTCGATTAAATGTCCATTGGTATCAGGAATTTCCAGGAAAGAGGGTACAGGGAACAGGGTACGAGGTAGTGGGTTGATTACAGGGTACGAGGTAGTGGGTTGATGGTACATGTTACAGGGTACGAGGTAGTGGGTTGATTACAGGGTACGAGGTAGTGAGTTGATAGTACAGGTTACAGGGTACGAGGTAGTGGGTTTATGGTACAGGGAACATGGTACGAGGTAGTGGGTTGATGGTACATGTTACAGGGTACGAGGTAGTGGGTTGATTACAGGATACTAGTGGGTTGATTACAGGATACGAGGTAATAGGTTGATGGTACAGGGAACAGGGAACGAGGTATTGGGTTGATTACAAGGTACGAGGTAGTGGGTTTATGGTACAGGGAACATGGTACGAGGTAGTGGGTTGATGGTACAGGGTAAAGGGGACGAAGTATTTGGTTGATGGTACAGGATACAGGATACGAGGTAGTGGGTTGATGGTACAGGGTAAAGGGGACGAAGTATTTGGTTGATGGTACAGGATACAGGATACGAGGTAGTGGGTTGATGGTACAGGGTAAAGGGGACGAAGTATTTGGTTGATGGTACAGGATACAGGATACGAGGTAGTGGGTTGATGGTACAGGGTAAAGGGGACGAAGTATTTGGTTGATGGTACAGGATACAGGATACGAGGTAGTGGGTTGATGGTACAGGGTAAAGGGGACGAAGTATTTGGTTGATGGTACAGGATACAGGATACGAGGTAGTGGGTTGATGGTACAGGTTACAGGGTACGAGGTAGTGGGTTGATTACAGGGTACGTGGTAGTGGGTTGATTACAGGATACGTGGTAGTGGTTTGATTACAGGATACGAGTTATTGGGTTGATTACAGGATACGAGGTAACGGGTTGATGGTACAGGGAACAGTGTACGAGGTAGTGAGTTGATGGTACAGGGAACAAGGTACGAGGTAGTGGGTTGGTGGTACAGGTTACATGGTACGAGGTAGTGGGTTGATTACAGGATACTAGTGGGTTGATTACAGGATACGAGGTAGTAGGTTGATGGAACAGGGGACAGGATACGAGGCAGTGGGTTGATTACAGGATACGTGGTAGTGGGCTGATTACAGGATACGAGGAAGTGGGTTGATTACAGGATACGAGGTAATAGGTTGATGGTTCAGGGAACAGGGAACGAGGTATTGGGTTGATTACAAGGTACGGGGTAGTGGGTTTATGGTACAGGGAACATGGTACGAGGTAGTGATTACAGGATACGTGGTAGTGGGTTCATTACAGGATACGAGGTAGTGGGTTGATAGTACAGGTTACAGGGTACGAGGGAGTGGGTTGATTACAGGATACGAAGTAGTGGGTAGATAACAGGATACGAGGTAGTGGGTTGATTACAGATTACGAGGTAGTGGGTTGATTACATGATACGTGGTAGTGGGTTGATTACAGGATACGAGTGTACGAGGTAGTGGGTTGATTACAGGATACAAAGTAGTGGGTTGATGGTACAGGGAACAGTGTACAAGGTAGTGAGTTGATGGTACAGGTTACAGGGTACGAGGGAGTGGGTTGATTACAGGATACGAAGTAGTGGGTTGATAACAGGATACGAGGTAGTGGGTTGATTACAGTATACGATGTAGTGGGTTGATTACAGGATACGAAGTAGTGGGTTGATTACAGGATACGAGGTAGTGGGAAGATAACAGGATACGAGGGAGTGGGTTGATTACAGTATACGATGTAGTGGGTTGATTACAGGATACGAGGTAGTGGGTTGATTACAGGATACGTGGTAGTGGGTTGATTACAGGATACGTGGTAGTGGTTTGATTACAGGATACGAGGTAGTGGGTTGATTACAGGATACAAAGTAGTGGGTTGATGGTACAGGGAACAGTGTACGAGGTAGTGAGTTGACGGTACAGGTTACAGGATACGAGGTAGTGGTATGATGGTACAGGGAACAGTGTACGAGGTAGTGGGTTGATTACAGGATACGAGGTAGTGGGTTGATTACAGGATACGAGGTAGTGGGTTGATTACAGGATACGAGGTAATGGGTTGATTACAGGATACGAGGTAATAGGTTGATGGTACAGGGAACAGGGAACGAGGTATTGGGTTGATTACAAGGTACGAGGTAGTGGGTTTATGGTACAGGGAACATGGTACGAGGTAGTGGGTTGATGGTACAGGTTACAGGGTACGAGGTAGTGGGTTGATTACAGGGTACGAGGTAGTGGGTTGATGGTACAGGGTACAGGGTACGAAGTATTTGGTTGATGGTACAGGATACAGGATACGAGGTAGTGGGTTGATGGTACAGGATACAGGATACGAAGTATTTGGTTGATGGTGCAGGATACAGGATACGAGGTAGTGGGTTGATGGTACAGGATACAGGGTACGAAGTATTTGGTTGATGGTACAGGATACAGGATACGAGGTAGTGGGTTGATGGTACAGGATACAGGATACGAAGTATTTGGTTGATGGTGCAGGATACAGGATACGAGGTAGTGGGTTGATGGTACAGGGTTTGGGATAGGAGGTTGAGGGTAGCGGGTAAGGATTAGAGGTATAAGGAACAGGGTAATGGTATAAGTAGTTGGTAGAGGGTACGGGATATGATATAGCGGGTACAGGGAAGAGGTAAGAGGAAGTGGGAACAGGGTACAGGGTTACATAATCAGATTCGTCACTTTGTTCGCGTGGTTTGGATTTTGGATTTGCTCAATGTCGAGGATTTTGGTAACATTATTTGCCCGATAAATTAACGATCTATGTAATTGTGTCCGGGAAGTTGTCGAAGTTTAGTGTCTACGAAAATTAATAAAAGCAGGTTTATATAGAGTTGTTTGCCACGCTGTCGAGTCTAACCCACAACTGTTTGCAAACTGTCCAAACAAGAAACAATAATCAATAACCACCATAGGATGGTGCCGGTTGTGTACGTTATACATGATAAGACCTCTGGTCAGTCCTCTTTACTGTCTGAGTACATCGATGGTAGAATAATTAAGTATTATTGCTGACTTGATAGCCGGACTAGGGAAAGGATTCAGTTTTCAGTATTCAGCGTTACCGAGCGGATGTACGTACACATATCAAAGACGTCTACCTGGCTGTCAAACTCTCTGAATAGACATTGATTGTGGATTGTGGGGTATATAATACCGCTGTATACATAGTGACGTTGTCTCTTCATATTCTTACGCTGAGAAAAAAGCTTTTATAGTGTGTCTGGATTTACCTTTTACAAGGAATATATCGACATGTATTGAACCGTATTTTATACCTGGGACATATAACGTAAATAAACCAAGTCGTGCTGTTGGACAGGTAAGTTTCGACATACACATAACTATATACCACACCTGCATCATCCTATGTTGTTTAAAGGCCTCTGTGGTCCAATCAAAGAAGACTTAAAAAATATATATAGAAATGCATATATTGTATGGACTAAAAGAATACCGCTTAACAGGAATGATCGATTCTTACGGTGTTCAATTGCTCTCGGCCTGGGAACCGGAAGGTAGGCCTATTGTGTTATCAGGGAAAAGGCTAGGATTTGAGGGATTTCATCAAATATGGGATATATATATGTATAATCTCAGTATTAATATCATATGTTGCAAGTTTGAATGCAATACTGTTTATTATACTTCTGAAAGATTTTAGAAGTTTTATTGGAAAAACGTGTAATTAGTATGGCGTATGTATTTGAGAAAATTGAGATTATGAAAGGGTAATGTCGATAACTTGACGAATTGTTTTTAATTAACCTATTAAGATACTGTATAAACGTTGCTATTAACGGTAAACATGGTTATTTTTTTACTGTGTACATGACTATATTGACTGTATTCAGAGAAATATTTACTGTATACATGGCTATATTTACTGTATACAGGGCTATATTTACTGTATACATGGCTATATTTACTGTATATAGAGTTATATTTACTGTATACAGACCTATATTGAATGTATACAAAGTTATATGTACTTTATACATGGTTATATTTACTGTATACATGGTTATATTAACTGTATACATGGTTATATTTACTGAATACATCGCTATATTTACTGTATGCATGGTTATATTTACTGTATACATGGATATATTTACTATATACAGAGTTATATGTACTGTATACATGGTTATATTTACTGTATACATGGTTATATTTACTGTATACATGGCTATATTTACTGTATACATGGTTATAATTACTGTATACAGAGTTATATGTACTATATGCATGATTATATATACTGTATACATGGCTATATTTACTGTATACAGAGTTATATTTACTGTATATAGACCTATATTGACTGTATACATAGTTATATGTACTGTATACATGACTGTTTTTACTGTATACAGAGTTATATGTACTGTATACATGGCTATATTTACTGTATACAGATTTATATGTACTGTATATATGGCTATATTTACTGTATAAACGGTTATAAAACTGTATACTGGATATTTTTAATGTAAACAGGGCTATACTAACTGTATGCAGGTTTTATATACTATATAGCTATTTCCAATGTACAGTGTATGAAGGTTTTTTAATTCACTGTGTACAGCATGTTAGTTGCAGTAATGAAATTTTCGAGATATTTTAAATATATTTTGACGGTATTTTTTTCAAGTGAAGTAACACTACAATCACAGTAGAGTAAAAATATTCTCGAAACCACACATGTAACATGCGCTTATTATAATTTGAGCATACAAACGAAAATCAGAATTCACAGAATCGAAACTACCCTGTATGGTGTTTCAGTGGGTAGCACCATAAAGTCGGCATTAGTTCCGCGCTATCACAAGGAGGCAAGCACACCAACATACCATGTCGGTGGCAAACTTGTACACATGTCCGCTTAAACAACAAACATGGAGGCACGTCCTGAAATGACATGAGCTGGAACGTTAAACAAAATTACGCAAAACTTGTGTCAGCATTTTTATCACCATTAGTCATGATATTTTTGTGTAATGACAAAACAAAGACAACGTCGTGCTCTTTTTTTTATTTGTACTTTATTTGACAAACTGACAACATTAAACTTGCATCAACAAGCTTGTAACGTTTTAGATTAGATAAAACACGGCATAACAGACACGCCAATTCCCTTTGTTGTATGATGCAATGAAATTTGTTTAAACTTTAACTAAATATTGACACGTTTGTTTGTTTACGTATGCATAGTTTGGGGCGTTTTTGTCTCCTCAAAATTATATTTACATGATGGGCCGATGTTACGGTTTTGCAGACAGGATGATTAGAGCACAAAACTTGTAGATGCAGACATAGACAATACCTGTTTATGTTTGTTTGATGAAATACTGGATCGTAACATAACGCCATTATGAAATTCATGGCTAGCCTCTTGAAAAGACCGGCATACCGCAGACAAGTTTTAATTTGTGGGGTGTTTGCCTAATGCAATATTTTCTAAATACTTTTAAAATTACACATTATATATATTGTATATCCGGACGTTGTACGAGTTTTATAACAATGCATTCCGTCCAAAAGCCATTTAGTTACACAATATATTATAAAGTTAACATTTACCTGAGGGAGATATATATATACAAGTGGTACTGATCGAAGGACTATTGGACCGGTCTTCGGTCTATAATACATTCAGGTTCCCCGGTCCACTCCAAAAAAAAAAATTATGACTGGAAAGTAATATTACCTGCTTCAAATATTTTGTTTACATCATTATGGAAAGGAAATCCAGACCTAACGAAACTTGAATGAAAATAAATTCATATGAAATAAACCAAAATAATTAATAACAGTGTTTTGAGAGTGCAAATACAATATAACCAGACCGTGGTTCGAACCCTGGACCTCTGGTTACAAACGATTTCTCAAACAACTGAGCCACAGGGACATGGGTATTTTTTACAGCTATATTTGAATCTACACGTTTTAGAGGTTTGGATCAACCTTTGGTAAAAAATCCACCCAATGGTCGTATATGTCATCTTCGAAAGTTGATCCAAACACCTAATACGTGTAAAATTACTCTTCACACATCAGCTTAGATCCAAATATACCTGTAACAAATTATCAGGTCGCTGTGAACTGAGCTATGAACGGTAGATTCCTGACCCAGACAGTTAGTTATAACCAAAACGAAATTAAAGGGAGGTAACTGTACCTATGAAAAACTACAGTGGAACTCTCACCATTACCCGATGTACCTTTGCCGACATAGTTGTATCATACACTAAAGCACAGCTCCCTAAGGAGAGATTTATACAGGTAATATACTGACTTGAACAATACTACTGTAAGGGTATTTACACTTGACGTGTTGTAATATCTGACCTGCTTGTTTATTGTGATAATTTGTATTTTATGTTAAGGACCCCTGTCCCCCTGCAGGCAAAACACTAGAGAGTTCCACTGCGGTTTTTGTACATACAGTAATCTCCCCTTAATTTCATTGGGATAAAACTGTAACTCGGTATGCGTATAATGATTAGCGGTACAGTGTTCGAATCATGGTATGGGTCCCTTACATTTTAACTTTGTAAAACCAAATTATTGCTGATTTTTTTTTTTATTTATCTTTGGGTTTTTTTCTCACGAAAGTTTCCCGAGCTATGGTGTTATTTCGAAAAATGATTTATCAAATTTATAGCCATACCGGAAAACGTTTTAATGCAAAAATGCATGCTATATCTTACAGTGACTATTCCACCTTTTCCCACGAAATTTCCTTCACTAAGAAAGCTACAGTATTTGATCGATGTATTTTATTTTGAATGTAACGATTTAGAGTGACGTCATAAATCGTACAAATAAATATAATTTCTTTCGGTTGAGTCCGCGCGAATTAGGACGAAATTGTTTTCTCCTATGGGAATGCGTGCCACTAGGTGGCGCTAGTCGCAGTCGGCGATGCACGTGCAGGTAAAGTCCTGTGTCCTTCAGGCGACCACGTTAGACACGTCAACACCATCAGTCGTAAGTACATAATTTGTCTATATTTTTTACGATCGGGCGTGTAACATCGCGTGGTGTGGTAAAGTCTCCGTGGGAGATACATTAGGGATATTGTGTTACCTCCTGTTCTATGTGTAGTTATTACAGCAAGTGTTGTATTTTAAACAATGATTGTAATGGTTGGACATGCAATTTGGCGCAGAGCACTGTGATCCAGACCGGCTGTTTAAAGTATGTTAGTCAAGTCTCCCGAGGTCTGCTTATTGGAAGAACGATGTCAGTGTGTGAATTTGAGATGTTTTAAGATGAAGTTTGTGAAATAAACTCAGTACGCGGCGGTGCAATTTATAGATGAGTTGTTGTTGCTATTTTCGAATTATTGGCACAAATGGTGATTGTAGGAGAACAAGTATTTTTATTACCCAATAGACTATATAAGGTATCGTATACCCTTAATATTAACACAAATCACATGTATGAGGTGTAAGGTAACATATAACCGTAAGGATCCCTATCTAACTGATCTGTGTTATCCTATAAACAGTACCCCCCCCCCCCCCCCCCCCCCCCCCTTAACTTCTGTTTGTTTATAAATGTAACTGTATAGCACATTTCGTTCATGATCTGAAGTTCAGAGTTCGAATCCCAGTCTAGCCCGCTGAATTTTGACAGATCACTGGGTTGATCATCTTTTATTCATATCATCTTTATGATTTCCATCAATCCATGCAGTGTTTTCATAAATGTTCATCAGAGCTAGTGTTACGCCAGAAAAGACAGTTTTCAATTCTTAATTACTGTTTTTGGCAATGGTACAAGGATCCTTTAACTGAAATAATGATTCGAAACTAATAATTCGTGGAAGAAACATGTTCAGATTTGTTTAGAGAACCCACATGTAAAATCCAATAGCTTCCAAGAACAGTCATATTAATCGTTATAAATTGTATAGGTGTTGGCACTTAATCAAGTTAGCGAGTGTTGAATTGCATGTGATCTTCTTTGATTTGTTTATTATTATGAGCAATAATAATCTGATTTCAGTGCCGCGTATTGCATAATTATACGATAGGTAGAATTAAACACCGACCATTAACAGATGCATTATATCCTCAAGGCCTGTCGCACCTAGCCGATTTGGGCCGCCGGAGCTACACCGGAGCACACATTTGGTGCTTCTTGGGGATCGGTACTAGTACGGCATCGCTAAGAACGGTAGTACATCGTCAGGGCATCGTCAAAACATCGGCGAAAAATTTAGTAACGGCAGTCGACGGAAGAAACTTTTGAACTTGCTCGAAATTTCCGCCGTTGCGCTGCCGGAGCGAGCAACGGGACTACAACATT